TTTAACTAATGATACTACCAACGTGTAATTGATGTTAAAGTTAACCTTGGGATGTTATTTTTTTATCAGACTTAAAATTTTTATTGTGTGAATTAATTTTATTTTATTTTCCTAAACTTAATGTGATGTGTAATGTAATAACTTTGTTAGAATTTTAAATATAATTTTTAAAATTTTTAATTTTAAAAATAAAAAATAATTAAGGCTAAGGCCTTGAGGGCCAGCCTTTCAGCCCTGAGGGCAAAAACCGAGCTGCTAAAAATAAAGTTTTGAGGTATAATTGAATTTAAAATGGCTAACTTATTTAGGCCCTGATTTTTAAAAGGTCGGCCTTAATTAACACTTCTGTTAATAAGTTTTGGCAAAGTATTGGGAAGTGGTGAAAGCGAGTGCACCAAGAAATTTAGGTAATGGGTAAAGTGGGTGAGATACCGTTATTGACTTCTTAAACACAGCATTCCACTTACACTATGAGGCTAATTTGTTATTGGGTTGAGTCCCCCTTCACATTGGACTGGGCTTTGGCCAATTACCCTCTTGGGCCCAGTATGCCACTTTTGATCCAAATAGATGGAAAATAGCATGAATGAGGTGGATCCACTGTATGAATAATAAAGTAATAGCAATATTTCATTTTTAAACTACAAAATGCTGATTAATTAGTTACATTATAGATATTATTGTCAACTATTAAATATATAAAACTAAGTATATAAATCTTTGTCTTGAAGAAAATAAAAGGCTGAGTAAAACTTATCTAAATGGGAGCTTCATATTCTCTCTCTGTCTGTGTATGGCAAATCCTTATAACTTTGCAAGGAATATAGCTCTGTCAAAATGGAAGCACAATATTTTCCGTGACAGCTAGAAAGATTATACACTTCATTTTCTTAAAAAAAAAAAAAGAATGAAAATGAGAAGCAAAGCAAGAAATTAATTTTTTTTGGGGGTGGGGGGGATAAAAAGGATTGATGCTTTTTGAATAACTGGGGGAAAAGCAAACATGAAAAGGGTGCGAGAGAGAGAGAGAGAGAGAGAGAGAGAGAGAGAGAGAGAGAGAGCTTTTTGACATTCCTTTCTTATGTTCCCTTTTCTTAGTTTGGTTAGCTGAATGAATTCACATCCATAATGCCACTTGATATTCACAATCCGTTCAGCATAGAAAGTCATTTTGGGCGCGCACACACAGAGCCTTATTGTTATTTGATTTTTATTCACCAACGCCATTTTTTTTTTTAATAAAACACCTAACAGGCGTGACGTCTAATGGTAAAATGAAATCCTACTTATCTATGCTCGCACACTGGTGCAATAGTTTAACATTCCACACGCACATGTTAAGCAAGCTTGTTAATGAGTAAAGCACCAGCCTAAAATTTTGTGCTAAATGAATCAAAATGTGTTCTTTGGGTCCACGTACAGATGTTTGGGTCTAATTTGGAGTGATAATATGGGCCCATAGTGGTCAGTCCAAAGGCCAGCTCTGTGATGTCTCTCGCTTTATTTTTCCGGCCTAAAATTCCAAAGGCTGTTGTCCTTCCAAGTTCCAATCTGTATGTCACAATTTTTTTCTTTTAAGATTTGGTTTGGATGAGAAAAAATTAGAAAGAATTTCTAAAAAATAATTTTTTATCATTCTTGGAAGTTTTTCATGCTATTATTTTTTCCCAAGAGTCAGAGTAACAGTTCAACTAGTATAACAATTTTATATTCCATGATATACATGCATGCATCATGAATGGTGTTTTCAAACAAGGCGGCATGACAGATTAAAGAATATTTTTTGGCCGGAACTAATAAATAATTAGATATTTAAATGAAAGGTGACCGATGGTCATGTGGATTGGATGCACTAAAGCAGTGCCATCTTTGATTCAGTGAATTTGGTGGAGTAATCCCTTAAATTTTTATTAAGTTCCATTATCGAACACTTAAAAAAGGAGGGATGAAAAAAAAAAAAGTTAAATCAATAAAGGACCTATTTGATACTCCCCAGTATTAATTATGGGTTCCAAAACTATGGTTGTGGAATTCTTTATTTAAATATCTTTAATTTTCTTAAATTGTATTCTATTTACTTCCCAAAGCTCCATTGTACAGAAGCTTATTTTTTCTTATGGCCATCTATCCCCGCTTGAATTTAAAAAATCTTCAATGTTGTGTAGAATATTTAACATCTTTTTTAGATTAACCTGTCATATCTTGCTCGCTAAAGGAGTTGACCCTTTTTTAAGATTTTTGTTTTTTTTTTTTTGGGTTTCATCATATGGTGTTTTGAGAAATTTGGGAGTATCATTGCCACCTGTCTAAGCTATCTTTTTTATACATTTTTTTTTGCCAACCCTATCTAGGCTAACTCAAACATCACCTTGTGAGATTGTTTTTATTAATGCAACATAATTAAATAAGTTAATGCTATTAATAAGAACGACTTCATCTAAAGGTCCAGGTTTATTTAGGCCCATTTGTTTAAGCTTTCTTCATAAAAAAATTATTATTTTTTAAAAAGAAATTTATTTTATGACATTTTTTATTGTTTGTTTGAATTTTGAAAATGATTAGAATTCAAAAACAAAAAAATATATAATTATTTTAAAAATTACTGAATAGCTTCTCAAAATAATTAGATGACTTAAATGAAAGAAAATGCCAAAAAACTAAAGAGATATTTGAAAATATCATAAAAATTTAAATTAATTAAATAATAAATTATTTTTATGAATAAAAACTCACGAACATGACATAAAATGCAAAAAACAACTTAATAATAACCATTTTTGTTATTATAAGTAAAAATAAAATAATATTAACTTTTTATAAAATCTCTATAAAATAATTGTTTTTTGACAAAATCTCTCAATTGTATGGAAACTAAAAAAATAATATTAAACAGGACCAACCTTAATTTATTACTCTGCATGTTAGTAACTGCCTATCTTGTTATCATTAGAACGGTCCTTCATTCACTAAATTATTTTATATTTATTTTAAAATAAAATATATTATTAAATAAAGGTAAATATGATAAAATAGGATAAGTTTAAAAATAAGTACTCCCTCCGTTTAAAACTGTAAGGTATTTTTAATCGAATCTCACCCCCAATAAAGTAATTATCTATCTTTCAACTAACCCTATCTTTTTATATTTATTCCTATTAAACATCTTATAATAAACATAAAATCATTATCAATAGGGAAACTTTTAAAAAAATGATAATGATTACACCTTAAAAGATTAAAAATGTCTTGTATTTTTAAATATTTAACTCTTTAAAAAATATTTTATATTTTTTATCGGAGAGAATAACTCTTTTATTGAGGATAATATTCAATAAAAAATGCTTTAATCAGTATCAAAAGTCACCCTGAGAAGTAAATAATCATGCCAAATATTTATATTTTGTCTAAATTCAGAAGCCAAAATTGAAAGCACCCCAATTTGTCTTATCAATGCATTTTTTTTACTCCCTCCGTTTAAAAATATAAGGCATTTTTAATCTTTTGAGGTGTAATCATTGCTTTTTTTTAAAATGCCCCCATTAATGAATGATTTAATATTTATTATAAAGTATTTAATAGAGTTAAATATAAAAAAATAAAATTAGTTTGAAAGTAAATAACTATTTTATCAAGAAATAAGATTTAATTAAAAATGTTTTATATCTTATAAAAGAGAGAATAACTAACAAATAATTTGGCAAACATGTTGCACAGCCTGGCAGGTGAGTTTGGCAGAGTGCCAAACATATCTACAAAATTTCTTCCTTATTAAGATATATATATATATATATAGGAACCTAATTTTAAAAAAATTATAGATTTTTATAATTTTAATTTATCTTTAGACTTGTAGTCATGACACTATTCTTAAATATGATCCTAGAGAATACTATGACAATTGTGTGCGCGTGGATAGTTTTAATTGGAAGCGCGTCCGTGGGATATGCATCTCCCCCATCCCACGGCAACGAGAAGTAACGAAAGGTCAAAAAGAGTCCGTGTTAAGGTGTGGCAAAACAAGATCAAAAACAAAATCCAGTGACGAGAAATAAATACTTGTTTATTGTTCATTTTTCCATTCAGGCGACAGACATATCCAGTATGAATCACATTTTAAAATGGCCGATCCGTACACATGATTAAAACAGAATCTGATCACCAACTGTGGAAATACTGTCTTGATGCAAAACAACCACATCCTTCGTCCTCACGTGGAAGCCATCAGCAAGACAAGCAGGACGAATAAAACTGCACCTTACTTTGTCCCGTAATATCCTATCATGTAAAGACCTTGCATGCTTTCGCCTAATCTTCATACGATTTCCAATCTCTATGTTCCTTTTGTTCCTGACCATCCACTCGACAACAGCATGACCCCATCTGTTCAGATTAGTCAATTTTCATAATGCACAATTACGTAAGTCATGCAGGTTTTTTCACCCTTTCACCGCGCGCCTTGCGTTTGTGCAAATGTCTGGATGAGCTTGTCCCACTACTTGCCCAATATAATATCGTTTTAAGATCATCCAACCCGTCGAATGCTTCCAAATTGAGAATAGCATTGAATCACACTGGGAGATGCATATGATTCATGTACACAGTGGGTCAAGTGAAACGGGTCATTTCAAATGTCAAAAATGTCTTTTCGCTAGTTAAGGCTGTAGTAAAAGTCCTGTGTTCAGACCACTATTGCTTCTACCTAACAAAGTTTCTTTTCAGATAGGAGAGAGGACCCGCAGCTGTTCTAAAACAACATTGATTGTTGTCTATTGTGGAACGAGGAAAAAGGCAGGGGGCTGCGTGTCTCATTTCATACAATTATGCTTAGAGTTTACCATATCTCTGTCCAAAACCATGCACTTACGTTTCCCGATAGATTCATTAAATTATATCATAATCTGATATCATCGCGTAAAACAATCGCTTGATATATAATAGCATAGGCAAAAACTTCCACATGACTAAGAAGCTAGAATGCCCTCTTTGTTCTTCTGATTTAAAAAATAATAATAATAAACAATACTGTCTTTGTTCTTCCCCCCAACAACCCAAGAGAAGCGCAGTAAATTGGAGATCAGAGGATAAAGTTGCAGATAGGGCCAGAGGCTCCTTGGGTATGGGTTCAATACAATCCGAAAGCTCTTGAACTCCAGTTGGATTTTGCAGTTTTCCAGAAGTGAAAAAGCCCGCCCTTTTTTTCAATGACAGGACAAGATAATTAAAGGTGTGGAAGCTGAATCAGGTAATATGAAGATGTCCTGTTTAAACTATGGGTCTTATATTCTCTCCAAGTTTTCTTTCTACCTTGTGGTAATCTGTCTTCTTTTGCATTAAAAGCTCCCTCTTTTATTAATGACGGATGCAGAGGAGTAATGATGATTGCATCTTATCATCTAATGAAACCCAATGGCGCGACGAACGACCCTATGTCTTTGGTATTTATACTTTTTGTAAGATCCATTTCACTTTCATTGACAGCTTCTAGCTGTCTCTGCTGCTCCATGAGTCAGAGAATTAATGGGTATTTAGATTTCCAGGGGGTGGTGAGTGTCTCTAAGCCATTAAATAGAATTTGATCTCAAAGTACCTAAAATATATCCGTTCAAAGTGATGAAAGAAGAAGTGGTATTCTCAGGTGGCTATAAAGAATAAAGAGCTCCTTCTACCATTCTCATTTGAACCTCCTTCTCCTTCTTGCTTTCTCAGGATGGAACAATCGCAGAGCAACGGAGGCGCAGAGGAATGTCAAAGCAGTGAATCTGGGTGGACCATGTATATTGGATCCACCATAGATGATTATGAAGACGACGACGACGTAGATAACGATCACACCCCTCAAGCTGATGTAGAAGATGATGAAAGTGACGACTCGATGGCTTCTGATGCTTCTTCAGGCCCGAGCCATTATGGGAATCCATGGGAGAATATGGAAGGAGGCTATGGCATGGGAGAAGAGGAGCATGATGAGAAGTTTTTCTTGGGAAAGAAAGATAATAACAGAACAAGAGGGAAGCAAATAGCAGGTAGAAAGGAGGAAGAGAATGAAACTGTATCCATTGATGACAAAGGTAAGGTTCCAGATCAAGACAGTGACAAGGTGAGAAGAAATTTCAGGATGGCAAAACGGAAATAGACGTACCTCTATATGCTCAGTAGGTTAATTGTTTCGTGGGTTTTTACGTTATGTTTTAAGACATGAGTGAATGAACAGAAGGGGGTTGTGTGTGCGCGTGAGCCTTAGCAAAGCTGACAGTTTGTGTCTTGTTTAGATGTGTAATCTCATGAGGCAATTACCGCAGAGCATCTCTAGTTGCATGAAATGCAGATATTAAGAAAGAGGGGGCATGTATGAAGTAGTAGAGGATAATGATTTGGTTGTGGCAATGCTATTTAAGCTGTGTTGTAAGTTGTCATATATAATATTATCTGGTAAACTCAATTTCTTTCATATATTCATGATTCATATGCCTAGTTAATTAGATTAACTCCCATTGGTTAACATGGAGTCGGAGCTAACAAAATAAATAAATCTACTAAAGCAGCTTTGATGTTTTAATTGAGAAGATAATTATTGTTCAAAATTGTTAACTATAGATTTTTTCCCTTTTCCTCCCTGCATAAGATTATAATAGCAATAAAAAAATTTTGACCTGAATAATGGCAATCAAAATTTACATGACATATATGCTATGAGTTGTGTTAATTTGATTCTTTAGTAAATGAGCCGAGCAACTTGAGGGTGGACATTAAAACTAGGTTTTTCTCCTTTTGTCGAACATATTTGGGCTAGATCTGGCTCCGAAACAAAGATTAACCAAGCCCGACTTGAACTGCTTCTTTCTTTGATGTACATACACCTTCTGTTTTATATTAAGTGTCACGAAAACAAACTTCTTTTTATGGTTTAAAATAAGTGTAGTTTTTAGATTTTAAGAAGGTATTAAATGTTTTCGTTTCTCATTAATGCACTCATAAGTGGCCAAATAATATAATTTAAAGAACACTGGAGTCATTTTACAAAAGGAGAATCTCATCTAGGCCTCAGGAAAAAAAATTGCATTGAGGGATCAATGTACTCTCAAAAATGCTTTTTTGCAAATAAGTTTTTAGAATAAACAATCACCCTCAGTGGGAGAAAAAAAAAATTAAGTTTACTATCAATAAACAATTTCTTATTATATGTAAACTTCAAATTGAGAATTTGTAAATATCTAATCATAAAAATATAAACTTGTTATTATAATAAAATAATTTCACTTTTAATAAACAACTATTTGTTAATGTGTAAACTTAAAGTTATGAATTGGCAAACATGTAATTATAAAAATTCAAATTTGTTGTCACAATAAACCTTAGTTATAAATGTAGGAAGTCATAAATTTTAAACCCTAACTTATAAATAAATAAACATATATTTATGAATATTTAAACTTTTAAGTTATAAATTTATTAATTTGATCAAGACAAACATGCCATCCTTAAATATAAATTTTACTTTCAATGAATGATTATTTATTAACACATGAAAATAGAGCTATGGCTCCGTAAATATGTAGTTGGTAAAAATTTAAACTTTTACTCATTACCTTTTTTCACTAAGGACAGCTGTGTTTTTTCTTCTAAAAACATACTTTCAAAAAAGGTCTCTAGCCTATGGAATAATTTCATAATGTATGTGACACTAACTACAATTTTTTTCTTCCTCTGGGCCTAAGATGAAATTCTTCCTTTACAAAAGAAATGAAGAGCTCCTTTTGTACAATGACTCCATCGATTTTGAGTTATACTTATCTGATCCTCTTTATAAGTTATTTATATCAATTTTATTAATACTAATGTAAAAAAAGTATAAGAAATAAAAGAGCATAGAATTTCAAATATGCCCTTATATAATAAATCTAAAAAATGATGTCACAATACTTCTTCTCTTTTATGGAGGATAATTTTTAAAATACATTATAAGTATTATCTAAAAAATCACACCATGATTTATAAATAAAATCAAATGGACATTCTAAAATGTAACTTAACTTATAAATGAGATTGGAGGGAGTAATTCCTAAAGATGTCAACCACTTTCATTGTATAGATTATAAGATATTTTTAGATAAAATTACACATGCCAATAAAATTTATTCAATAAACTTTACAATCTTATTTTTTTAAACAAAATATAAGCTTTCGTAAATGCTTTTTATTTAATATTTTATTTGTAAAATAATGTTAAAGAGAGAGAATATAATATAACAACAACAAACCTTATCCTATAAGGGAGGTTAGTTACATGGACTATATGATATCATTATACTCTATCATTTGTTAAGTTTTTAAAAATGTTATTAATTAAAAGGTCTTACTCAATAATTTTTAAAAGCGTTCTCTTCGATATTTTTCTATCCCTCTTGACAAGATTTAAAGTCATCTGTTTCGCTTTCCTCACAATTGTCTCCCGTGGTTTTTTTTTTGTACATATCTGAACCACCTCAAATAATATCATTTTTTCTTTAATAGATGTCACATTCACTTTTTCTTGTATTCAATCATTTTAAAATTTGTCTTTACATATATATTCACACATTCATTTTAATATTCTCATATCTATTATTTTAACTTTATGCTCTTGTTGTTTTGTCAAAGTCCAACATTCACGACTATATAAAATTATTGATCTTATAGCAGTTCGATAAAACTGTTCTTTAAACTTATCAGGTATCTTATGATCGAAAATAACTCATTTAACTTTTTTCTAATTAAATCACTCCGCTTGCATTCCGTGTGTAATATCTCCATTAATATCTCCATTTTATTGGATAATTGCTCCTAAATATTTAAAATTTTTTAACTTAAAGTGTGATTTGATCACCTAATTTTACTTTTATTTGAGAAGAGTAAAATTATAAAATTATTATTAATAAAATTTTATTTTATTTTATTTTATTTTATTTTATTTATTTTTTTTTTTTTTTGAGAAAGGGGAGGGAGGCAGCAAATAATCAATTGAGCTCTCATGCACGCACGCACACTGCAAAAGTAGGGCAGGGGTGGAAGGTTGAGGGAGTTAATAGGATATCACATGCCAATGTACTATGAAGTACTGCAACTGGGTTTAGCATTAATTGCTACCTGACATTGTGTCCTTCAAATGAGGCAGATTCAAATCAAATAACTCGTTCCCCGACGTTCCACAATGTCGCTTTCCGTCACAAAGCATCCCCTAAATCCAGCAATAATATCACATGTATACATTCCTTCAGAGTTTTTATAAGCTGGCTAATGTCATCCATTCATCGTATCAATATTACAAATATAACAAATTTATTTAACTTGCCATTCCCAAATGTTATGGCTCAGGAACAACTCTTATTTTAGAAAATAATGAAACTCTTTGTCTAGGATGATCTTGACAAAGAGTAGCCTTGTTTATATTATTTGAGATCCCAGCAAAGCTCTTTTTTTTTTTTTTAATGAGAAAGGTCATGACAAGAATCATGCAAAAGACAAATCAGTGTTCAAAAAACTGTCACACCTTATGAGTGTTTTGTTTAAAATTTTAATATTTAGACTGGGCTACGGAAATTTAAGGGGGAGTAACATAAAAATTTAAAAAGAATATTATGTGGGTGTTTCATGCATGGGAAGGTTTCATGTGAAAATGAATGCATGATTGTGGTAGCAACTGAAAATGTAATGAAAATGGAGCAACTGAAATATCAACCCTCCGTTTCATGTTATTTCATAATTAATGAACAGGATATTATGCTTTAAAAATAAAAATAAAATGCTCCTTCATCACTACTCTCTTCGTCTCTTTATATGAATTATTTTGAAAAAATTAATCATTTAGTCTTTATAATTTTGACCTAATTGTAATTTAGTTCTTCAACTTTTACTTGTTATAATTCAATTCCTAAAGTTTTAACTCGGTCATAAAGCAATCTATAAGCTTTATCTCTTGCAATTGAGCTTATAAAGTTTCAACTTCTTAAATATTAGTCCCTATATTTTAAAAAATAAAATTATAATAATTTAAAATATTAGTAATAAATTTTAAAATATTTTGAATCTTTATAATTTTATTTTTTAAAATATAGGGATCAATATTTAATATGTTAAAACTTTAAGGATTAAATTACAAGAAATAAAGTTTAAAGATTGATTTGCAATCAAGTCAGAACTCCAGAAACTAAGATATAACGAGTCAAAGTTGAGGGATTAAATTACAATTGGGTCAAAATTATAAAGACTAAATGATTAATTTTCTCAATTATTTTTTAAAATTTTATTTTATTTTTAAATATAAGGAGTGTTATGATATTTTTTTTAATGACTTCACATTTTTGCTCCTATGTTAAAAATGGAAGGGATATTAGTTATAGTCTTGTGTTCTACCATCCCACCATGATATTGATTGTGATATTATCAGAGATAAAATTAAAAAATTATTATGATTTTATGTAATTTTAATTAAATAATAAATTTTTATTGACATATGGGATTTGATTAAAAAATCTCACATATAGAGATAGAAGGAATATAATATAGGGGCATTTTTTAAAAACTTGATCTAATATATAGGACATTGAATATGCTTTATATGTTTTTTTTATTATGTTTGTACTTTATTATATTTCACTCAAGGAATTAATAAATGTATTTTTAAATTTGAATAAGTCAGATATTATATTTATTTCATTTAATGGTATTATTGGGATTGAATGATATGAAAACTTCAATAAACCAAGACTTCAACTTAACTTTTTTAATAAACATAAAAATTTAGTGTTAATTCTTTTATTTTTTTATTGTTCATGTGGAGTATCATTTTATTGGAGATAATGTACGGTTAAATACTAAATGTAAAAATTTCTTTCTGGGAGATTTAAATTTTAATTTATTATATTATGAATGACTACTCCTTTATGCTAAATTCAATTCTTGTGAGTATTTCTTTTGTGCCTTGTTTAATATAAGGGGAGAGTTTTTTATGGAAGTCTAGCTAAAAGTGAAAGTGGAAGAAAAATAAAAAATATGTTTGATATGATGATGAAAATGAGATAAAAATTTTAGGTGAGCAAAATGGATGGAATTGAGTTTTTATGGAGGCATAATGATAGTGAATTTTGTGATTTTAAATAGAATTGAGTTTTTTGAGTTCCAATAAATTTCAAAGTTTCACCTTTATTTTCACGTTCACCTCTCCAATCCCAACTCCAACATTCCAAAAGAGGCACTATTCTTTCTCCATGGGACTACACGGAGGCATTTTGGATTGGTTTTACAAAAACTTGGATAATTTAAAATGATTTTTTGGGTCCCCAAGAACTTCCATTAAACCGCAAGAAGAGATAACGGTAACCGATAATAAACGACGACGTGGAGGGAAGCGAACCACGTCGCTCTTTCCCACATTCAGTTGGGTTGGGTGATCCTGTGACGCGTTTCTTTTCTTCCCCAGGCAAGCCGATTGTCATCACCATAGTTATGAACTGATCCTCCTTCGTCCCAGAAATGTCGAAGCTGCTTCCCTACAGCTCCGTTCACAGATGCACCACCTTCCTTGCCCCTCCCTTCCCCGCCTCTGTTGCCTCCGTTTCGCGCCTCCATTTTCGAAGCCGCCTCTGCGTTTCGGTTTCTTTTCAATCGCACCTTAAAAATCTTTGTCCCTTTCAGTCCCGTAGAGACCTATCAGTTTGCGCTTTCGATTCTTCATCTTCAGAGACTAAAGACGAGGAAGAAGCTGTCGGGAAGGATGAAATCAATAATCAGTTTGTTAGAACTGCTGGTGAGGATTATCCGACCGGGGAATTTGAATTTCAACCCATTACGGGTTGGAGAGGATTTCTAGTGAAGCTTAAGATGCTGGTTGCTTTCCCTTGGGAGCGTGTTCGCAAGGGCAGCGTTCTCACAATGAAGTTGCGCGGCCAGGTTTCCTCCTTGTCCCTCGATATATGTTTTTTGCTATGAATTCTTGTTAGGACTTGTTTTTAGGCGTTTACTGTTTTATTAGAGGAAATATAAAAAGGATAAGATTGCTAAGTTTGATTGTAGAAAAGTGGTGCAAAGCACTGCGAATATTTCTACATCTCAAACACTGAATCCACTGCTAGAGGTGTAAAGCTAGGATAGGCTTTGGATTTTTTATTTTTTTAATTTTTGTTTCGGAGTATAAACGCGCTGTTCATGTGTTCAGATATCTGATCAAATAAAGAGTAGATTCTCTCGGGGATTATCTCTGCCTCAGATTTGCGAGAACTTCTTGAAAGCAGCATATGATCCTCGTATTACTGGTGTTTATCTACATATTGATATTTTGAATTGTGGGTGGGGTAAAGTAGAAGAAATTCGAAGGCACATACTGAACTTCAAACAATCAGGTATATTTAGACTTCTATTTCGACAATGCCAGACTAAGAATTTTGCATATTAGATTATTTGGATCAAATGGAACTCTTGTAAATTCACTAAAAGATTTTCTAAACCTACACACCAAATTAGATGTTATTGGAAAAAATGAAAGAAGGTGGCAGCTTCTAGGTTGTACTTGGGGTTTATTTATCTAAATACTCCCGCCGTTCCTAAATGTAGAAACCAGTTGAGGGGGTTTTTTGGCTCCTAAATATAAGACCTCAATCCACTTTGTCTTCCAAATTTATTATTTTCCCCCAAACTATCCCTATTGATTGCACATATTAAAAGGGGGTTTCATCAATGAGGGTAGTTTCCATTGCAAATGATGAAAGGGAGTGTTTTAGGGAAACCAATGTACAATTTTTACAAATAACTAACTTAACTAATTTTCTTAATTGCTGTAAATTAGTTATGTAGCTTCTACATTTAGGAAAGAAGGAAGTATCATTGTAGTATGCCTTTTCCCAAGTCTCTGCTGATATGTTGAATGATTTATTGTGATGATTATTTATACTTGTGAATATCAATAGCATTGGTTGTTGATGTTATTTGTAGGAAAATTTATTGTGGCTTATGTCCCTTCATGTCAAGAAAAAGAATACTACCTTGCTTGTGCTTGTGACGAGATATACGCCCCTCCAAGTGCCTATTTTTCTTTGTTTGGCTTGACTGTTCAAGCCTCATTTCTCAGGGGTAAGGTGATTTTTTCTTTTCCTGTCATATATTCAAGTAATATTTTTCTTTTCTTACAATTCTTCATTAGGAGCGAGAGGGAAGAATTTGCAACTTTCAGGACCTGTTTTATGACTATTTTCCTGTTTCTTTACATGATTTTAAATCATGGCAAATGAGTTAGATAGACTATCTTTTGTGTCAGTTGATTGATGAATCTGACGTTTATTTGGAATCACAGAACCCTCGTCTTACCTTGAGTGCATTGTCCGATGTATTTTGACATGATTAGCCTCAAGACTTTCTCCTGATTTAGGAGGGTTGTATGTAAGGTTCCTATATTAGCAGCCTTTATAGTAATAATATGTTTGTATATAATATGTTGAGATATCCTCCTTGTGAGGGAATTATTTGGTACTTAAATTATCCATGTAAATATTCTGGTCTTGATAGCTGATACTAATATTTACTTGCGATAAAAGTGTGCAGAGGTTTGTTAAAATGCTATTATATATTTTACTAGATTAACTGAGGCAGAATTGGTTGCTTAATGTTTTATTAAATTTAACTCTATGGAATAACTCATGTATTGGTTCTTTTTTCATTTTTTTAAGAAAATCATGCTATGGTTATTCTTGAATTATGTTTTGTACACATCTTTGCATTTTTAAATTGCATTAAAGGAAGTTCTTCAGTAACTTCATGCATTTTTTTAAATCATTTGATGTCTGTCTACTCTTAAGAGAGTTAAGATTAAACTAATTTCTTACCATAATTTATTATTTCCTTTCAGGTGTTTTAGATAACATAGGAATTGAACCACAAGTGGAAAGGATTGGCAAATACAAAAGCGCTGGGGATCAACTGGCCTGCAAAACCATATCTGAGGCAAACAGTGAGATGCTGACTGCATTGCTTGACAATATCTACACAAACTGGCTGGATAAAGTTTCCTCTGCAAAAGGTGCACTTGCAATGAAATTTTTAGTTGAATCTTGAAGCAATAAGTAACCTCTGGGCTTTAAAAAATTTTATATAGGAAAAAAGAGAGAAGATATTGAGAACTTTATAAATGAAGGAGTTTATCAAGTAGACAAGCTGAAAGAAGAGGGCTTCATAACTAATATAATCTATGATGACGAGGTATGTGAAATTCTTATTTTTCATGTATTTGCTTCTTTGACCAGCTCATGGAGTTTACTGTTCTCACAGTTACCTACATGCAGTCATGCGCATATCTCATCAGAAGTGGTTAATTTATTGTTTCCAGGGATGAAAATACACATATATCAGAGGTTAAAAGGATGTGTGCTACATTCGATGTTTTGCAGGTTGTTTCAATGATGAAAGACAGACTTGGAGTAGAAACAGATAAAAATCTTGCCATGGTGGATTACAGGTTATTTCCACAATGATATACTGATGCAAACTTGCACCTATAATCTTCTAAGTCTTTTGATCATTTCCAAATATTAAGAAAACTTGAAAATCTTCATGTTTGTATTTTGTTGTAAAATGGGAAATTGTGTGGATGAAAATGGACTTGTAGCTATTTAATATGGTCAGGAATTTTTTCATTTGTACTCATGAAGTCAGAATCCTTAAGTTCTCCTATATTGTGGCACATTTATGTATATTTCTGTTTGCTTATTCTATTTTACTGATTCCCTGCTCAAAGTTGCTCTTTCTGATTAATAAGAACTTGAAACTAGGTCATATTAACGGTCTAAATGTAATCTGTTTGCATGATTAATCACAGAAAGTATTCCAGAGTTAGGAAATGGACCATTGGAATGTCAGGTGGTAAAGACTTGATAGCTCTTATCCGAGCCTCAGGGAGTATTAGCCGTATTGAGGGTCCATTGGGTGTGTCAGGCTCAGGGATCATTGGAGAGAAGTTTATTGAGAAGATTCGCAGTGTGAGAGGTACACTTGATATTTTAGCTTATCTAAAATTAAACACAGGAGACCAAGTAAAATTTGCTATAAATAGTGAAATGTTAATGCTTATTATGCTTGACTTCCTGATTATAGTGGTTGAAATTTAAGTATCAATTTCATTAATGTTCTCTTGTTTAGAACAATTACACAAATCTTTACAAAATGATGTGAAGCAAGAGATTACATTTCTATGCTACAAAACTTGTTCAGATGTATGGTTTCGTCCCCAAGACTTGAGGCCTGAAAGTGGAATCTGTAACATTTGTTATATATAATTTAAGAGATTTCTCAGGTCTCAGACACCAAGGAAGAGAGACTTACTGGCCAGAGAAAATTTGAGGGATACAAGTAAACGCAAATAATTGAGTACATGATAAATATATGTTTGGCAGAACCACTCATTTTGTATGTTCGACCATGTGGAGTGTGGGGGTTCAATTCCGTTCATATGGCATGCTACAGTAGGACTTTAACCTGGGGGGATTATCATGATCTTCATTGTTCATCTTTGGTGTGGTTTAACAAACCTGAAACCTTTGACAGTATTCTTACAGTTTATTTTCGTGAACTGGTAATGAGAATAACGTTGTCTCCTGGTCACATTTGAATTCTTTTGCTCTTCAGAGTCCAAAAAATACAAGGCTGCTATTATCCGAATTGACAGCCCAGGAGGTGATGCTCTTGCGTCTGATCTGTAAGTGCTGGTAAATTTCCCTCCAAATTAATTTTATGTATGAAAATTGCTCTGTTGATATGGGAATTGTAAGAAATTGTTGATTATTCGTTGACACTTTTGAGTTAAAAAATTAATCATATCCTTAATAATCTGTCTAAATTTAAAGTATGTGATTTTGCATTTGAGAAAGGAGTGTGAGAGAAGGATAACCCGCAGGTTCAGCTAATCATACTCTTGGGTCATGATCTGCAGGATGTGGAGAGAAATCAGACTTTTGGCTGCTTCAAAACCAGTCATTGCTTCAATGTCTGATGTGGCAGCAAGTGGAGGTTATTATATGGCAATGGCAACAGGAACTATTGTTGCAGAAAGCCTTACTTTAACTGGTTCAATTGGAGTGGTTACAGGTGAACTTAGGTGCTTTAATGGGGAAAGAATTGGGGCACGGAGATAGGATGATTTAAATAAAAGTCTAAAACTAATACTGTCTGTTCTTGTTCAAATAAAGAAAAATATAGAGAACTAAAAGAAACATTGTGTAAGTATCATACGAATGCATGTAAAAAATGTTGAATAATTGAGGAACTTGCCTGCATTCGTTTTGAAATCTACACTGGCATTGCTCAATTTGGGATATTCTTTTTACATGTTCCAAACAAAAATCATTCTGTTTCCATCTACCATTTTGCTCAAGACAAACAAATTTGCTCAGTAGCTAGATCAACTGAGGCAAGGAGGGGTATGTGCAAGACTGTACTATGCTGATTTGATAACTCTGCATGCTCCGGAATACCAATAACTGACACATGAACCCCGCCCCCCAAACATATATTGTTGTAATTCTTTATGCACATGATACTGCATGTTAGACGTTACACATTAAGAAAGAGTAAGATGAAATAAATCTTAATTATTGGGTATGATATATGTTGGAATACTAACCCCCTCATAATGTGGGAATTAGCATCCTCTGAATTATATATATTAAACCTAAAAAACCATTTATTTCTTTGAAAAATGCAAGAGCATTTAGGTAATTTCCTTAACAACGAATTAAAAAAATTAAAACGTCTTCCATTTATTGTATGTGCAATTTATAATCTGTTACTGTGATTACATTTTCTTTTAGGAAAATTTAACCTGGGCAAACTGTACGAGAAGATTGGATTTAATAAGGAAATCATATCAAGGGGAAGATATGCTGAGCTCTTTGCAGCAGAACAACGCCCTTTTAGGTAATATGGCCCGGTAAAAATTCTTTTGGAGGAGAGAATATTAACCATTGCACCATGCCAATAAAAATCCAGGAACTGCATAGTACTCTAAAACCTTTTTTTTCTTTTGGGCCAACTCTAAAAGCACTGAATGTTAATTTTTGGTTGCGAAACTGTCTTGATTCTTCCGTCTGAGTCAGGCTTCTGATTAGATACTGTATACATTTCCTTTTAGATGTAAAATCTTGCTCAAAATATTCCAGCTATCCTCGCTGTGGCCCTTTGTCTTGTGGTTTAAATGCTATGGCCTTTGTTTTGTCAATTGTCCTCCGCAGGGTTATAATATCTCGATTATATCAGCTCATGCATGATGAATGTGAGACGGGCAAATATTTTTATCTTATCTTTATTTGCTTGTGCAGACCAGAAGAAGCTGAGTTATTTGCCAAGTCTGCACAGCATGCTTACAAGCAATTTCGAGATAAGGCAGCGCTTTCCAGATCCATGACTGTATGTTTGGACTGTCATTCTATTCCTTCTCTTTCTTTTCTTCATCCCTGCTGATTCAAGTGAGAGCTGCTGTTTTCGTCAATAGGTAGATAAGATGGAGGAGGTTGCACAGGGGAGAGTTTGGACTGGTAGAGATGCAGCTGCAAGGGGTTTGGTTGATGCCATTGGTGGGCTTTCTCGTGCAGTAGCCATAGCAAAATCGAAGGCCAATATACCTGAAGACAAGCAGGTTAATTCAGAAATGCCTTTTTGGTTGGCAATGAGCATATATGGTCGTATGTTGAAAACAAGTTCTGATGGTGATTCTGTAATTATGAGACATATACCAGGTTACAATTGTGGAGCTCTCAAGAACCAGCCCTTCTCTACCAGAGATTTTAAGTGGCATTGGGAGTACCCTGGCTGGAGTAGACAGAACATTGAAGGAACTGGTGCAGAGCTTGACATTTCCTGATGGGGTTCAAGCCCGGATGGATGGCATCATGTTTGAGAGATTGGAAGGATATCCTTACGCCAATCCCATATTGACATTGATAAAGGATTACCTTAGTTCCCTGTAACCAATTCATTGTTCATTTCTTCTCATATCTCTTTTTCCGGCCAAAGAAGTTGCCCATGGTTGTACTTGTCCCCTCAGTCGTCTTCTCCAAATGCCAATCCTTGTACATGCATGCTGCAAAGTTCCTTCAATACATGTAGCTATATTCCCTTGTCCATGTTGTGTGTAATAACAATGTATATGCTACGCTCAGAGTCCTCACACGCCTCTGTGAAAATCCATGATTACGAGTATTCCAGCTACTGATGCTTTCTTTTGCTCAGACAACTAAACCATGGTTTGATAATGAAGTGAATAAATAACCATTAAAAACAAATGAATAAATGAATAAATAAATATGTTATTTGAACATCTTTTTAAAAATAGGAAAAATATAATCATAGGTCCTTCTAGTTCCATCAGGATTTGCTTTTATTCTTTATAATTTTTTCTACTGTTTTCAGTATTTATAGTGATTAAAAACACTAAAAAAACTGAAATTACATGTATCTAAATAATAAGTGTCACCAAATCTTTATCAAACTGAACTGAAAATATTAAAAAAAAAATCTACGAGTCTAAAAATAAAACCAAGTGGAATTAAAGAAATATGCATTTTTAATTGAATATCTCTTAATAAAATAGTTACTTATTTTTAAATTAATTTTATTTTTTTATATTTTTATTAAATATTTTATAATAATTATAAAATCATTCATTAATAAAAATATTTTTAAAAAAAGATAATGATTACACCTCGAACGATTAAAAATATTTTATATTTTTTAACATTTAATTTTTTAAAAAATGCATTATATTTGTGAATAAAGGGAGTATATAATTATCTTCTTTCCTTAAAAATATTATTTTCTAACATGGTTATCACCAAATTTCTTTTATTGCAATATAAGTAGAAGATTTTTAAAAAATATTAACGACACATCCCATAAAAAATAATTTCAAGTTATATTATTTAAAAAATTACGTTTTTTCCTACAACAATATTTACAAGTTAAAAATCTTATAATCCCCTTATCTATACGAGCTAGAGAATTAATTTATAATAATTAAAAATAGTTAAATTAATTATTTGTTGATTTTTCTGAAATACTTTTTTAAATTATTCGCACCGTAAACTAACTGTTGGGATGGTTTGGAAAAATTATAAACTTAAAAGATAAAATAAAATAAAACTTTACATTTAAAATCAGAATAAACCTATCAAGTATCAACCAATTCTTACGTATAAAGGACAGGAGGGTATCTTAGCGCTTTCGTTAATTCGTTTGCACAGGAAGGACACTGGATGGCTCCCTAATTTATATGAGAAAGATCATGATTATCCAAAAATAAAAGTTTATTTTTTATTTAAAAAAAGAAGAAGAAGAAGAAAAACTCGTGAAATCCCAACAGCGGACGACCACACCATTGGAAATCTAGCTTAGATCGATGTGCTGATAGTGTTACTGTTGTTGCTCCCTCTCCAATTACAGAGGATGCAGATGGCTTCCCTGTCGCCACCACTGTCATGCCATCACAACCAGAAGGTTCCCTTTCTTCGCAAAATAACTTCTGTGCCAAATAACAATCCTTTCCGTTCAATTTTGATTCCAAAAGCATCTCTTTCTCCCTCGAGACAAACCCAGCCAAAAAATCGCCTTCCTTTTACCGACAACTTATCTCATCAGGCTTCTTATCTTCAACACATACACGAGCTTTGCGAGTCCGGGAACCTCAATGAGGCTCATACTTTCCTGAGAGAAGATTTTGAAAGTTCTGTTTCCGCTTCAGAGCAGAAAGGAGAAGCTATGATGGTCTTACTTCAGGCTTGTACGCGCTATAAAGACATCGAGGTTGGTCGGAAAGTTCACGAAATGGTCTCGGCTTCGACTCAATTGAGCAACGACTTTGTTCTTAATACCCGTCTAATTACTATGTACTCTATGTGCGGGTCCCCCTCGGATTCTCGTTTCGTTTTTAATGGCATGCAGAAGAAGAACTTGATTCAGTGGAATGCGCTTCTTAGTGCCTATGCCAGAAACGACCTTTTTCATGATGCAATTTTGTTGTTTGTCGAGTTGATCTCTGCTACGGAATTCAGTCCGGATAATTTCACCTTGCCTTGCGTGATTAAGGCGTGCTCTGGACTTCTGGACCTGACTTTGGGCAAGGTAATCCATGGATTAGCGGTAAAGATGGCTTTTTTCTCGGATGGATTTGTAGGTAATGCGTTGATTGCAATGTATGGAAAATGTGGGTGTATCGAGGAAGCTTTGCAAGTGTTTGAACGTATGCCTGAAAGAAACTTGGTTTCTTGGAATTCGATTATGTATGTATTTTCGGAGAATGGGCTTTCTCAAGACAGCTATGATCTATTTGAGGGGCTTCTTAATAGCGAGCAAAGTCTCATACCGGATTCTGCTACTATGGTGACGATAATACCTGTATCTGCTTCTGAAAGTGAAGTGAACACGGGGATGTTACTTCATGGTTTGGCTTTAAAATTGGGTCTGAGTCAAGAATTGATGGTGAACAATTCCCTAGTTGACATGTATGCAAAATGCGGCTGCTTGCCTGAAGCGCATATTCTGTTTGATAGGAATGATCAGAGAAATGTGGTTTCTTGGAATTCCCTGATTGGGGGATACTCTAAAGAAGGAGATGCTCATGGAACATTTGATCTCCTGCAGAAAATGCAGACGGAAGATGAGATAGTGGTAAATGAAGTGACCCTGTTGAATGTCCTGCCAGCTTTTTTAGATGAGTTCCAACTGAGGAGCTTGAAAGAACTGCATGGTTACGCTTTCAGGCATGGATTTCAAGATTATGAATTGGTTGCCAATGCTTTTGTTGCTGCTTATGCAAAGTGTATGTCACCCTCTTATGCTGAGCGTGTCTTTCATGGCATGAAGACTAAAACGGTGAGCTCTTGGAATGCATTAATTGGCGGCCATGCACAAAATGGTTTTCCTAGAAAGGCTCTGGACTCGTACCTTCTAATGACAGAATCTGGCTTAGATCCTGATTCGTTTACTATAGGAAGCCTTCTTCTAGCCTGCTCCCACCTGAAACTACTACAATATGGCAAAGAGATTCATAGCTTTATGCTGCGTAATGGCCTTGAGTTAGATGAATTTGTTGGAATATCATTACTGTCACTTTACATTCATTGTGAGGAAATACTACCAGCAAAACTCTTGTTTGATAGGATGGAAGACAAAAGTGTAGTAAGTTGGAACTCAATGATTAGTGGTTTTTCGCAGAATGAACTTCCTGTTGAAGCCATTGACACATTTCGTCAAATGCTTTCAAATAGAAACCAACCTCATGAGATAGCCATAATAGGTGTCATTGGGGCTTGTTCACAGCTATCAGCTCTGCGTCTGGGGAAAGAAGTTCACTCCTTTGTGTTAAAAGCTCACCTAACAGAGGACACCTACATTAGTTGTTCACTGATAGACATGTATGCAAAAACTGGGTGCATGAAACAATCTAGAAACATTTTTGACGGGGTAAAGGAGAGAGATGAAGCATCATGGAATGTTATAATTGCAGGATATGGAATTCACGGGCATGGACATGAGGCTATAGAGCTATTTGAAATGATGCAAACCTCAGGCTGCAAGCCAGATTCTTTGACATTTATAGGACTTCTAATGGCATGTAACCATTCTGGCTTAGTAACAGAAGGGCTAAAATATCACCGTCAGATGCAGAGTTTGTATGGTATAGAGCCCAAACTAGAGCACTATGCTTGTGTGGTAGACATGCTTGGTCGAGCAGGCCAGCTGAATGAAGCCTTAAAACTTGTGAACGAGATGCCTGAGGAACCAGATTCAGGGATATGGAGTTCATTACTTAGCTCCTGCAGGAATTATGGTGATTTGGATATTGGGGAGAAAGCTTCCAGAAAGTTGCTAGAGTTAGGGCCAGAAAAGGCTGAAAACTATGTATTGCTATCAAATTTGTATGCTGCGCTGGGGAAATGGGATGATGTGAGAAAAGTGAGGCAGAGGATGAAGGGGATTGGCCTTCAAAAAGATGCAGGGTGCAGCTGGATTGAGGTAGGAGGTAAAGTGTATAGATTTCTTGTTGGGGACGCATCACTGTCAGAATCAAAGAAAATTAAGCAGACATGGATGAAATTGGAGAAGAAAATATGCAAAATTGGATATAAACCTGACACAAGTTGTGTGCTTCATGAACTGGAAGAAGATGAGAAGATTGAGATGCTGCGGGGTCATAGTGAGAAGCTTGCAATTTCTTTTGGATTATTAAATACGCCTAAAGGTTCACCGCTGAGAGTTTGCAAAAATCTACGTATTTGTGTAGACTGTCATAATGCTGCTAGATTCATATCGAAGGTTATTAAAAGGGAGATTATCGTACGGGACAACAAGCGCTTTCATCATTTTAGCAATGGGCTTTGTTCCTGTGGAGATTATTGGTAGTTAAAGGTGTAAACAAGTTTATTCGTGGATTTGTCTGGATGTGAAGACTTCCAGAAACCATCAAATAAGTTACAGCTGCAGAACTGCTACTGCTTTATTATTGGATTTGAAACTTCTGTACAGATTAGCAGGTTCTATTTGAAGCCCTCTCAAGGGTTGATAAAAATCAAGCCTGAATCAATGACTGATATGTTTGACAAAGTAGGGGGGGGACTTGATTCGATTTCTATTAACTGAATGTTTTCGAAGAGCGAAATCAAACTATTTTGAGGATCAGACACTTGATGAAGCTGCAATGTTCGAAGTTTAGACAATATTAAATGTAAAGCATACAACAAGCACGTGCTATTATAATTTTTGTAACTTTTATGTTCGAATTCAATCCCCCCTTCATCATAATAAAGTTCAATCCCACATATGGAAGTACCTTAATAGATGTCAAAAGCATTATGCTTGTGAAGGCTCTGCTATGGGGCCATTGGGGATTAACAAGTCTGAGAGAGCTTCTTGGAGAGAGGAAACCTTCTCTTTAAGCTGAACATTCTGTTGAAGCATTTCCTGGTTACATTCCAGCAAACTGATGATTTTTCGAGATAGTTGATCATTCATTGCTTGCAAATCATTTACGCGACACTGAAGGGCTTCTATTTGTTGCTTCTTCCGCATTCGAGATTTGCGTGCAGATTCTCTGTTAGAAAGCATTCTTCTTCTCTTCTGGTCATCAGCGATAGCTTTTGCTTCATTGTTGCTACTGTGAAGGGATGCATTGGGAGAGGATTTATGGCGCGGGATTTGAGTCAGACTATTGGGAAGGTGAATTTGTGAGTAATAAAGTGGAATGCAATGTGAGCTTTGAAATGGATCCAAATGAGCAAAGACACGGTACTCTTCCACTGTTTCCATGTTTAGAACAGGTTTCTCAGTTGCACATGGAAATTGGGGATGCTGGGTTGAGCTGGAATTAGGCACTCCATAGAGTTTCTCAGCATCGTGGCCCTCCATGTCCCAAAATTTCAAGGTGGATGTGAGAGAGAGAATAGGAATGAATGACCTGAGGTCTTGTGGATTAATCAGAGAAGCAAGTTTCAGGGTAAAATTCCATTCGTCCATGGAGTATTTAAAAGATAAGACCTTGAATGCACTCGGCAGATGAAGTAGGCAGTGAGAGAGATCCCTAAGATTTCTTAGAAAATAACATCACTTTCATTGCAATATTAGAAGACATTAGTATTTCTTGGCATTCAAGTAACTTGAGTTATGCCAAGTGCTGTAGTGCAACTTGCTTATGCAGAGGTGGAAAGTTAAGAATACGAGTAAGATGGAGATTAATAGTAACAAATTGTAGTTGGACCGTCTTTATTGTAATGAAACAATGCAAATATGCAATGATCAAGTGGTACAATTGATATGCAAAGAGACAAAAGAAAGTTGACAAGAAATGCAGCATTAATCTCTCGAGGCACTGCCCTTGTCGTTTTCTGACGAAATAAGGCTAAAAAAACACAGTGAGATAGCAACAAAACAAAGACGGGCAAGGCCGGCATCAGCAAAAGCCCATTCTTTGGGTAAAAAGAAGGTAGGCCGCTTTATTAGAGGTGGAGGAAGCAGACTGTGAATGAAGCCATTGCTGCGCATAAAACCAGTCAAGTAAAATGCCCTGAAGGTATATGTGTGGGTCACAGACGCATGTACTTGACTCGAAATAGGGATTCCATTTACCGCAATCAAGAAAAAGTCTAAAAAAAACTTTGAGAAAATCATTCTCACATCAAATACAAGCAATCTAAATGCATAAAATTTTTATGAAATTTTAAAATTACTCTAACATTTTTTTTTTTATTCAAGCTGTCAATTCATTACATTAAAGTTAACAATTGGTACTAGATAATTGACAACTAAAGAGCAATAATGAACAATTTAAATAAAGAATGAGATTTTAAAGTAATTATGTAATTTCATGAAATTTTTTTATATCTAAATTGCTCATATGAAACCTGGGAGTGATTTTTCCAAAATTTTTTTAGTTTCAAGGTAAGTGATACTAAGGACAATGTTACGTGACTTGCACGTATTATACAGGAGATTTGAGGCTTTTAAATAGATTTGTGAAAAAGATGCGTGTACAATGTAATCCTTAGTAATTACATACACATAAGTCATTAGAGATGTTAAATCAAAAGCCTATGTCAGTAGTAGATATCTTAAATGCACAGTAAACTGCAAGCAATTGAAACGTGGATGTTCAAATTAGCAAAGGCTGATTGAACTAACATTCAAGTGAACTGCTCGTCAACTCAAGGGATCTTTCCTGCACCAAAAAAATAATAATAATAATAAATAAAATAAAATAATCTCAGTAAATCGACCAAACATCATTTTGATCTAATCGGTATAACAATGATACAGTAATCACCAACTAGATAGTGAAATAGCACCACTTGCTTGGTATAAAAAGAAATATATTTTTAGATTAAAAAATAAGACATAACATTTTATTATATTCTTGAAATCATTATTAAATCATAATCATTATCAAACGTGCAGATTGAGATGAAGATTTATCTCTCATTCCCTGTTTCTTAGAACTCTCTTAAGTTTTCATGTATGCCAAGCATCATATAAAAATTTGAGTCAACTCATCTTATTAAATTAGTAAACAGTTAGATTATTATATTGATTTATTTAATAAAATATTTTATTTATAACTAATTTGATCAGGGCTTAATTGTGATTTTTGATCATTAATTTTTGAATTAGTACTTTTAATTGGTTCAATTTTTAGTGCTTTACCAAGTATGATCTATATAAAACATGAGTTTAAACTTTTTAATTAAAAGCAATAAAAAATATAGATACCACTACAAATATAGATACCTTTCCTAAAATCAAGAAAAATCTTAGAACTTGATAGCTACATCTAAAATATTTTCATTTAATCCCCTATTGAGTATATATATTTTAACTATCTACTTTCTCACACCAAAACTTAATGGGAGTAAAAGAAAAAACCCTGTAATAAAAAAATTACTAATGTAATTTACAAGCAGCAAAGACAAAAGAAATTAATCATTTTTCTTCTAACTTATAAATAAAACCAGAAAGAATATCTCAAAGCTTCTTCATTCAAGCTTGGTATTAGGAGAATTTCTTCTTCCCTGCAAACTGATACAGCCAAGTAATTTCACATCCTGAAGCGCTTTGTACAAGCTTATTTTTCCATTATATATAGAGATGACCATTATCCTCATTGCTGAGCAGAAATTTGTATCTTGCCACCCAATGTAGGTCCCAACAAACATATGCAACAACTGCTTTCCACGGTATTCCTCCTGCTTCCCCAGCAATACAATTTCGAAGGTCTTGTTATCCAATGCGAACCACGTGATGATGATCGCCACCGCCCAAATTGGATGTTGATCCAGTCATTCATAAATTTCCCCTGCCAATCCATTATGCCCTCAATCTGATAGCATAATTAATCCTTTTAAACAAATTGAAAATACGAAAATAAAGAAAATGAATACAATAAGATAATTGGTACTTGCTAGTTGCTATGCCTATTGTGCGTTTTTTTTTTCCCCAAATTGTTCACATGTAATATAACATTTTAAATTTTTCTATTTTGTAAATTCATATCTGATAATAAGAATTTTGAATATTAAAAAGTAATTTAAAATTAAAATTAAAATAAAGATAATAAAATTTAAATCATTAAACTGGAATTAGAAATTAGTTGGATTCTGCTTGCACTTCTTCACGGATGATGCAATAAGTCGACATAATACACGCTGGCGGCCTGCCCATTTCCAAATTGGAGAGATTGATTAAAAAAAAAAACGCAAGAAAAAAAACAAAAGCAAACGCAGCTCTGATTTTTTTTTTTTTAAAGAAAAAGAGAGACATGGCGTCAGGAGTGACGTGGGAACCCCTCACGCGAAGTGAATCATCAGAAGAGCAGAGAAGTTTCAAAAGCAAACGCACGGGTCTGGTTTTCATTCATTTCTCCCTCGCTCGTTGTCATTCGGCTCCTGCTTTTACACCATTCGTCAACAAAACACTCTTCCCTTCCCTTGTTATTTATACTCCTCGTCATCTCAGCCCATTCCTATCTTCTCTTCTTCTTCCTCTGCAACATGGCCTCCTCTCAGGACCACGTCCATATCCTCGCCTACCCGTTCCCCTCTTCCGGCCACATTATTCCCCTCCTCGACCTCACCAAAAGCCTCGTTTCTCGCGGCGTCTACGTCACCGTTTTGATCACCCCTTCCAACCTCCCTCTCCTTCAACCTCTTCTTCCTTCTCACGCCCCTTTCCTCCAACCCCTCCTCCTCCCCGATCCTCGTCACAAGAAGCTCTTCCCCCTCGTCACCGCCACGCGCCACCTTCACTACCCCTTCCTCCTGTCCTGGGTCCAATCCCTTCCTTCTCCTCCCCTCGCCATCATTTCCGATTTCTTCCTCGGCTGGACCCTTCACCTCGCCCGAGACCTCCGTCTCCCCCGCCTCGTCTTCTCTCCTTCCGGCGCCTTCGCCTTATCCTTCTTCTACTCTCTCTGGCGCGACCTCCCTGTAAATCCTGACCCCGGCAGTGCCGACTCTCTCATTTCCTTCCCTAACATTCCCAACTCTCCGCTCTACCCTTGGTGGCAGATCAATCACTACTACAGGCAGAAGAAGAAAGGAGACCCGGAGTGGGATTTTCACTGCGAAAATATGCTGGACAACATTGCTAGTTGGGGTGTTGTGTTCAACACTTTCTCCGACTTGGAGCGAGTTTACCTGAATCACATGAAGGCCGACCTCGGCCACGACCGGGTGTGGGCCGTCGGTCCCGTTTTGCCACCCAAGGACGACGACGACGAGGGCTCCGCTGATAGGGGAGGGTCCAGCTCCGTCCCATGTGACGAGGTGATGACGTGGCTCAACTCTCGACCCGCCTGTTCCGTGATCTACGTGTGCTTTGGAAGTCGCACAGTTTTGACCAGCCGCCAAATGGAGGTGCTGACCACCGCTTTGGAGGTGAGCGGGGTCCAGTTCATTCTGTCCGTGAGGGGCCCGGATGAGCGACACGTGGGGCAAGACGTCGGCGTCATCCCGGAGGAGTTCGAGGACCGAGTAAGAGGAAGGGGTCTGGTGATTAAAGGGTGGTCGCCACAGCTCGCCATATTGGGTCACGGAGCCGTGGGTTCGTTCCTGACGCACTGTGGCTGGAACTCGGTGCTGGAAGCTCTGACCGCCGGAGTGGTGATGGTGACGTGGCCGATGGGTGCAGACCAGTATACGAATGCGAAGCTGATAGTGGATGAGATGGGCGCGGGACTCCGAGCCGCCGAGGGGACCACTGAAAACATTCCCGAGGTGGCGGACTTGAGTGAGGTTATAAAGAAGTCGTTGCTGGAGAATATCACCCAGAGAGTGCGAGCCAGAGAGCTGATGGAAGCGGCTTTAGAAGCGGTGGAGCCAGAAGGAAGCTCCCATCAAGAGTTGGATGCTTTGGTGAAGCACGTTTTTGAGCTTCGCGAAGCTGAACGCTGCTTTGATTAGTTCTTTTTTCTCTTTTCGCCATTTTTTTTTTGGGTGTAAGATGCTAATTGCGTCTGTCAAGCTGATTCACGTTCTAGATCTTGTCAGTCTGTAACTGTACGTATCATTCATTCTGTAACTGCTGGTTCTTCCCTGGCGTTATATTGAGGGGTGCAAAACTGCAAATGCCCATTTTAATATGAACTTGATTTCTTTCTTTCTGACTCTTTATTGAGGAAGAGGGACTGACATATAGAGTATCCCTGAACTTCAACATTGATATGAATGGTTATATGTAAGTTATATGTGGGGCCACCACGCATTTGAGGCAGGCTCCGTCTCTGAGGTTGGCCCGACGGGATTATTTGCCTTGCTGTGTCGACGCACTCGTAAGCTAATACGTCAGTTAACCCCCCCGTCTCCATCACATCTTGTCATTGCTTGTGTAATAATTATGTTCTTAACTAAAATTACACACAGTCTCTACTCTCTAGTCTGTAGTACTTTGAGTTTATCATAAAATGGATCGAACTTGACCCTCTCGCGTTTCTCACCCTAAAAACAAGTAATTATCGAGTGAATAAATATCTGTTTTATAATGATACTAAGACACGGACCCACTCTAATCAATATTGCTTTGTGTACAATTATCCGAAAATTCAGGCAGAGGCATATCATTTCCCATCCTCTTCCATTCTTCTCAAATTTTAACCATTATAACAAGATTTGAACGGCTTAAATTTGATATATTGTAAAATTATTATTTAAATATTAAATTATAAGAAAATATAAATAATCAAACTTAAGTTACTAAAATTTAATTTGAGTAGTTTAAAACTGCAGTTAAACCAAATAAAAAAAGATATATTTTATAAAAGATCAAATTCAAACTACCCAAAATGTTAATCTTAATAATTAGTTAAGGAAGAGAAGGAGGAGAGGATGGGAAGGGGAGGGGAGAGACTCATCACCGAATATCGGGGCTGTCCAGTTCCTATGAGTCAAAGTGCGCCCAACATTTTTATATACTTGAGTTTTTTATTTTAAATTAATGTCTGGACCAACACTTCAAAATTTATACACTCTCCCCGTTTGAAATATTTTTATTCATTAATAAAATAGTTATTTTTTTAATTAATATTATCTTTTTATATTTTTTTATTTAATAAAATATTTTATTTTAAAATAAAAATAAAATTACTTTTTTATTATAGACACTTTAAAAAAACACATTCAATATATTTTAAAATATAAAAAATATCTCACATTTTTTAATATTTAATTCTTCAGATAATCAAGAGAGGGTACATATATGTGTATGTATGTGTGTGTGGATTAATGTGTACAAAACTCAGAGAATTTAGAGACTAAAATTCAAGTAAGAGTTATTTATTGCAATATAATATGTGTTTGGATACTCTTAAAAAAATTATCTTGATAAATTAAAATTTATTTTGATGATATAATTAAAAAGCAAATTTTGAATGTATAGTTACGGAAAATGTCATGAGTTTTATATATTACATATATTATTTTATCTCTTTAACAAATAGATAAATTAAATTTTAAAATTATAAGAATAAAAAAATCAATATATTGTTCAAAAGAACTATTTGTAAATACTAAGAAAAGACAAAACAGATTGATATAATGCACATTATATATAACTAGATCTATCTGATGAATAATATATATATATATATATATATTAATTACAAATCATGCAAACCTAAAAGTCTAAAACCAAGGTTCTATTTGGCATGGAGTATTGAATTATAAAGGATTAGGAATGAGATTGAGAATGTGAACGAAAGTAGAAATAAGCTTTAAAATTATGTATAATATGTGATGGGGTTTTAAGGGAGGAAAAAAAAATATAAGACTCAAATTAAACAAAAATTAAGTAAAAGATATAATGAAATTTGCTTTGCCATCACTCTAGTCCACCAAGTGAGTTGAGTGACTCTTGCTGAAGACCTGTGAATGATGAACACGAAGAACACGAAAGGCAAATAGAGCTGAGCTCACTAATTTGGAAGGAGTGATGGGTTCTGTTTCTGGCTGAGTAGCAACAAACTTAGCCTCATGCTCGTGGTGTCGGGCCAAGTGTCGTCACTTAGACCATAAGGTCAACGTTATCAACGCCATTATTGAAGTGGGTTTTGGGTAGAGAGATTGACAGAGAGGGAGCAACGAATTTGGGGAGGAAGGACGTCGTTGGGGGTGGAAGACACTGTCGGTATAGGGGAAGAATAAGAAGAAGAAGTCACAGCACAGCGATGGGGTGAAATCAAACGCCGTTTAGTTTGGAAAATTCAATCCTATATTGATATTAAAATTGGAATGCTTGTTGCCATCCATTAAACAAAAAATTGTCATTATCCAATCTTAGGCGCAATCTCCCAATCTTACATGCCAAACAAGGTCATGAGGTCTTAAAAGTAGAGCTTTTGTGCAAAGCTAGGTTAAAGGAATAAAAGCTATTATATATAGGAATGTTCATAGATTCAAGTTGATTTAATTTTGAACAAAAATCAAATCAAACGGAACCATTCAATTTACTATAATTGGAACCTGATTGGCTTTTATAAAATTTAGTTTGGTTCGGTTTTATTTTCAATTTGGTTTGATCTGGTTAAGATTTAAATCAGGCTTCAATACACTTATTTATTTTTTTTTTCATTTTCATAATAGTACTATGTATTAAAATTAAATCTAATTCTTTTTTGCTCTTTTTTTTCATAAATAAAGGTATAAAGATATAATAAAATTTCAATGTGATAATGATAATTAATCATAAAAATTGATATAAGTTTTTAAGATTAAAATTATTTAATATTATGCATTTCCTTCAACGTGATAATGATAATTAATCATAAAAATTGATATAAGTTTTTAAGATTAAAATTATTTAATATGATGCATTTCCATTCAAAAGTAAACAATGAAAACATTATTATACAAAATTTAAAATAAAATATTTTTGTAGATAAATTAAATACTAGGGCTTTCAAGTTGTAAATAATTAAATGATGATCGTGACATAATTATTATAATTATTTAATATTATGCATTTCCATTCAAGTCCTTTAAAAATATTTATCTATTATTATAAAAAAAATTTAAAACAAAATGCTTCTTATAGATAAATAGTTATATATTTTATAAATAAATAAATAAATATTATTTTTAATCAATTTTGGCTCAGTTTGGTTCAATTTTTAATACTCAAAATCGAGCTTGAACTAAACCAATCAGTTCCTATATTATAAAAACCGAACCAGACTTAATTGTTGTTTGGTTTTGATCAATTTCTTTCGGTTTAGATTGGTTCAGGTCGGTTTTTTTGGTTTGAATCAGTTTTGAACACCCTTAATTACATAGTATTTGGATTGATAAATTTGAATTTAAATTTTAGATTTAAAACTTGTATTTCAAATTTCATACTCCCTTTATTAAAAAATATAAAATATTTTTAACTAAATTTTATCTCTCAATAAATTAGTCATTTACTTTCAAACTAGCTTTATCTTTTTATATTTACTCCTATTAAATAACCTACAATAAATATAAAGTCACTATCAATAGGGACACTTTTTAAAAAAAGGCAATGACTACACCTTAAAATGATAAAAATGTCTTATATTTTTTAACATGCAGTTCCTCAAAAAATGTCTTATATTTTTTAATGGAGGGAGTATTTACAATCCATGTGTATAAAATTTTTTATTTGTGTAGTTTAAAATTTTTTGAATAAAAGTTAATTTAGATCTAAAAATAAAAATAAAAATAAAAAACTGAAAATGCGAGGTTATCTCTATTTTCATTGGTAATAAAGTAGGATGAGAGATACGAAAAGATGCATAAGTAATAAAAATATTAATTATATAAATATAAATAGATAAAATGTTTGAAGTGATTAAAATTTTAAACAATTAAGGTGTAGACAAAATTTGAAATCACAGAACAATTGTAATAAGAAATGAATTTGAATTTGAATCAATTCTAATTTTATAAATTTTTATATGTCCAAATAAGAAATTTAGACTAAATTTAAATTTAAATTCTCACTGATTCAAATATACCACAAAAGTATTCCAAATAAGAAATAAACTGATACAACTACATTTTGGAGTCCAAAACTAGATTTTGGGCTGTCAATCTTCAATCTAAACATAACCCAAGTCTAACCTTTAAAATGGAAAAAGTATAATTTTTTATCAAAGTGGACATTATTCACAATTAATTGTTCAACTGTTTTTTTTATTAAGACAAAAGATAGTAAATATATAATAAAAATTTATAAGGTTAAAGCATTATAATACAATTAAGGAGGGAAATTAAATACTGAGAAAAATAAATCCTCCAGAACAGCTTGAAAACGATCATGTTGAAATTTATGGAGCAAGTGTAAATCATCACTCCACGCAAAAACAACACGGAACTCAGAGTATTGTTCTCTTTCAATTCATATGAACAATCCAGTTTCAGATCATAGCGCGGATCAAGTACAAGCCAAACAAAAATATACCATCCAAGAACAAAAGCCCCAAAATTAATATACCAATATCCTCGCTAGAGCTATCCCGACAGTTTCATTCATGCCCACTTCGTCCATGTTTTTTGCCCCCAAATAACAATACGTGCTTTATTTATTCATTTTCCAGCTAGCAAACTCCGAGGTCCCTCCAAAATGATACAATCAACAAACAGAAAAAAGTTCGCCTTACATGATCTGATGATAAGATAATATTAATTATTAATACTTGGAATATAATAATGATTAAAAATAATTGTCTAGTTCAAGTTGGCATTGAGAAAAAGAAAATTGAATATAACTCGCCAAATTCAAACATTTTCAAATTAAACCCATGTCTTATCTGAACTTATTTTTGGGCTTGTTTTGGGTTTTTTTTTTCTTCGGGCCACCTTATATTACTTTTCACAAGCGACGCCGCAGCGGCTGTCACCATGATCCTCAACACGCTTCTGTTGATCCCAATCCATGGAGTTTGGGCTCACTGAATTGACTGTAGTGTACTGAACAACAAAGAATTGGGCCACTCTGACATTGGTGAATTGTCCATACCGCCCTCGTTGGCTGCGATTTCAGTTGATTCAAGTTGGGTAGGCTCTTTCGTTTTGCGCTGTTCTGTTGTTCATATCCCTTGTTTAAGTGTTTAACGGAATAACGGGTTCTTCCGAAGAGGAACGCCTCGGAGCTCAGCTCACATGACTATGTCGTTTGTTCCGATATCCCCCAATAAACGACTCAAAACCCAAGGCCAGGAGGACTCCGATCATGACCTCCACCCGCCACCTTCCTTCGAGGATAACCAACCTGATTCTTGTGGAATTTGCTACGCCGACCATGGCACTTCAATCAGAGGTCAAATTGATTGTTGCAATCACTTTTTTTGCTTCGTCTGCATCATGGAATGGTCCAAGCACGAGTCTCGATGCCCCCTCTGTCGACAAAGATTCTCCACCGTTCGCCGCCCACCTAAGCCCGGCGTCTTCCCTTCCTCGCGCCTCGTTAAAGTCCCTATTCGCGACCAGGTCCCCCGCTATTACTAATTTCTTTGCCATTTTACTCCCGTATTAACATTTTTCCAATTTATTTTGCTGGCGATTAGTATGGTTGTGTTAATTTAGTCATTGTTAGTTGTTTATGGATTTTCTGCCATGCTTGTATTGCATCAAGGTTGTGTTTTTTGCTGTAATGGGCTTTAATTTTAACTTACTGAATATCTACATGCTAAACTTTAGTTCTTACGACTTGTAGGTTTACCATGTTCATGGAAATATCACAACAGGTCCCGCGGATCCTTATGCCGAAACTCGGTGTAGTGTCTGTAATGGTAGGGAAGATGAAAGTTTTCTTCTCCTATGTGATCTATGTGATACTGCTTCTCATACATACTGTGTTGGCCTTGGACATGTTGTGCCTGAAGGTGATTGGTTTTGCCATGATTGTATTGTTTCCAAGGCGATTAATGGCGATAATGATGTAGATCATCAATGTGATACGCCGACAGCTGAGCCAAGTGTAAAAATCCTTGATATTGTGAAAGAACCAATCAGCCAGATGGTCCGAAGACCAAGATCATCGCCTCTTGTTACCCCTTTATCTGATAGGGTGAATAGAAAGAAAGATAGAAATCCTGACACAAGTGCTCGGACATTGGACCAATGTCGCAATGTGCAACGTAATATAAGAGCTTTGCGTGAAAATTGGAATGCTTTGAGAAATGGCTCATTAAGGTTTCCTTTCAATTCAACTGAATTTAGTGCTAGGCATGATCGAAAACAGGGCTCTGATTCCTTAGCTCATAGAAAATCAGATGAACCACATTCTTCGGCTTCCACAAGCCTTCATCAATCTACAATTCAAAGCATACCTTCTAGTAGCAAATCGAATGAGAGAGGCTTGAAAGATGTTGAAAAGGCTTGGAAAATGCTGGATAGAGCAAAGATGATGGAAAAGACTAAACAAAAAAGCAGCATTCTTCCACAGGGATTGGATCGTCTTTCAAGAGATGTAGGACATGGAAAAGCACAGAGCATTTATTGCAATGACCAAGAATTGAAGATTCAACAATCTAGAAGATCCTCAGGGAAGGAGAAGCAATACGGCTTTTCTAGTTTTAGTAAGGATATGGATAATCACCAGCCTCTAGAGTTGGGACATCAAAAGCATAGGGTTGCATATAAGGAGTCTTCACCGAATATTTGGGACCAAGCTTCTCATTTAGAAGGATGCTATGAACCTTCATTGCCCAGAAAAGTGCAAAGTAGCATTCAAGGTGCTCCCCCTCATGAAAATGGGAAGAGAAATTTCACCAAGGAACAAAGAAGGTCTTCTTGTTTAGTAACTTCGGCAGGTTCTGCTCCTTGTGATGGCAAGAGTGGTAGAGTGTCTTCCTCAAGCAGGGAGGCGGGTAAAAGAAAGTGGTTGTCTAAAAGTTTCAGGGATACAAACACAAGAGATAGTGAAGATTCTAAGAACGAGATCAAGTCTCTTGTCAAGCTCAATCTGAAGGTCCTTAGTAAAGATAAACCGTTAGGTATTTTTTCCCTTTGATCTCTTGTACAGTCACATGATCATGGTTCATTGAAAATTTTACATATTTCATCTACACACTTTTTCAGCAAGCCGTAGCTCGAGTCATCCATGGTCTAAGTTTTGCTTGACTGATGTGGCAGTTTTCCTATCCTGCTACTTTATTGTTTCTTTCGCTATTGATTTAATTTACACAATCTCTCTTTTAAGCCTTCACACACGTGTGTTTTAAACTGCTAGAGCAAAATGAAATGACAAACGTGACTTGCCTAAATTAAAATCGTTGCATTGAAGAGGACAAACGTGATGCAGGTGTTGATGTATTCAAGGAAATTGCTAGGCAGTCAACACACGCTATATTGGCTGTATGTCGATCGGAGCATGAAAAGCCGAGCACAAGCTCCTCAAACTCTGTATGCAGTCACGAGGGCGAGAATCAGCATTTTCCCAAGTCCACCTTGATGCCCAATTGTTGCCGACAATGTTTTTACACGTTTGTGAAGAATGTGGTCAACTCCACTATGATGGAGAAGCTGGGTGGTGGTGGGTAGGCATCTGATGGTAAGGCTTGTTGTCTGCCATTTGCCAATCTCCTCACAGCTCTAGGAGAAATTTATTTTCCTGTAAATTTTATCGGGGCGTAACTATTGATAAATTGATATTTTGGGATCTAACTATCATTTTCCCTTGTGTATATGCAACGGTCCTGATTTAATATTATGTAATTTAACGTGTCTCACGAGACTGAATCTTAACTGATGCATGTCACGTTTCCTATCTGGTGTTGCCTAATATAAACTTGAGCTACTGCTTTAGAGGCAAAAGCCCCAACAACTGCACCCACGGATCTGTGTCACATGCAAATCATTGAGTCTGAGACTTGAGAGTGACCTACGGCCTAAATGCTTGGTTTGCAAAGACTCTCATTTGTAATTGTTTATTCAATATTAATAATTTTTTGTGAAACATAGTTATCATTAAATTAATATTTTGGGATCTTGTCAAAAAAATTAATCTTTTGGGACTGAAGTGTTATTCCCAGAAATGTATGCACTCTGTCAAGCTCGTTTGAGGAACAAAAAGCTTACATTTGTACGAGGCTGAGAGCTTTGGATCTGTTAAAATGTTAATATTGTTATTTCAGAATTTGGGCCGAACTTCGCTGAACCAATATTTAGGCATGTTCCGGAAGCAGAAGCCCGATCTTGGGCAGATTTTACGGGAGTGACATATTATGTACAATTTGATTGCCAAAGAAATTAAATTAAGCTTTTACTTCATGTACAATGACAAATATTTTTATGTAAAATAATCGTGAAAATAGGGGTGAAATTAAGCAATAGAATGACTGTGAATGGATGCGGGAGCTTCCTGATTTCCAGATTCAGGGGAAATGAGGGAGGGAGAAATGGACGTTGTGGAAGTGGTGGGGCCACGTAGGAAGGTTGCACGTGAGGAAGCCACGTCAGATAGAGAAGGAAAAAGGAGGGCCCAGCTGGTGGCAGATTTTTGAATGGCCCATGAAGGACAGGTCAGTTGAGAAGGGAAAGCACATGCCCCCGCTTAGCGTTTTTTTTTTTTAAAAAAACTTACATAAATTTGGAGGAAGGTGGATGCATTTTTTCAGAGTGTGGACCCAGTACTCACCCTCACGTGACAACTTCACGAGAGCGAAAGCGACACGCACCGCCATCCAGCCAGCACCTACTCTTATGGCACGTGCCAACACGTACATTCGGTTCTCTCTGTATCGCCAATTCCACTTCCCTCTTCCCCCCACCACTCCTTTTTCTTTTTTGTTTTTTTTTAAATCAAAGTCTTTCTATGAAATATCTGTACTATTTATGCGATGATAATAACAACAAATATTGACGAATAATAATAATAAATAATCGTAACAAATAACATTTAAGACCACGTTTGCTTGTGCTTAGGCCCATTTGTTGCCGACCCTAATCAATGTGCAGTGTCATCCATAATGGACAGCCACATCCCCATCCAAATATACACCCACAAAAAAAAAAAGAAAAAACGGCTTCTTCCTCCGATTTCGGCCTTTTAAATATTGTACATGTAGTTGTATTTCTCGGACCAGGGCATCCATTTGTATTTTACATAAATAAACTATTAAATTTCCCATCACTTAAAGTTGTGTGAAGCATCCAATTATTAGAGATTGTTTCTGAGGCGTGTCGCCTTTTTTTGGGGGGGGGGGACAACAGGGTGTATCTTCTTTATTTTGAATAAAGGAATAAATAACCTTGATGTAGGAGATATACTTTGTTTAATTGGTAAAAAAAGACAATAAATGAATAATAAGGTCACAAAAATAGTTCTTGTGGCAAAAACGGTGGTGGAGAAAGAGGTGTGGTGTGGAGAGGAGACGGAACGGAATAGAGGGAGGGAGGGAGGGAGGGACGGAAGCGCACGCGAGGCGGCAGGGGATGGGCGCACGTGAGAGGATGCGTCCTCAGTCACGTGCGCAGCGTAACATGCTCACGTCTTCATAACAAACTGAGCACCCCTCTCTCTCTCTCGATTCGCTCGTTTTTGGGTGGGTCCCTCTTTTACGTCATTTTGTCCATAAAGACGATTCCATATTGCGTCCCTCACATGCCATCCTCTCCCACCCTTATCCCTCTTCCCCACTCCCCATTTTCAACCTTTTATTTTCTTTCTTTCTTTTTATCTCTCCAACTTCCATATGTAATGTAACATTTATATGCCATGATTCCTCCTCTCTCATATAAGTACGTAACATTTTTAAGCAACTTACATTCTAAATAAATTAATTTATGACATTTAAAATTATATCTTATTTTCATATTTATTCTAGTTTAACACGATATCTCAATTCTCAACCAAAAAATCTTATTAATTACATCTTAATTAAGGTCATTTTTTAAAAAATCGTATTGTTTATAAGTTAAAAGATCTAAAATATCTATTTTTTTAAATAATGATTACTCAGAAAAATTACCGTATAAAACTCATTGAAAAGGCTAATATAATGAGGTTTTGCAGAAACATTTGGCCACTCAAATTTATAGAGTCATTATATTATTGTTTGAATAAATTAGAGCAACTTGATTTAAAAAAAAATAAAAAAAGTGAACATATCAGGAATATATGTAGTACATGTGGTTAAGTCAATTGAAAAGAATAGCCATGACTCGTGGGTAACTGAGCATGCAGGCTTGACTACATGAATTTGGCACTGAGTGGCGTTTCTTGTACATTTTGTGTGGTTAAGTGTTGGGTTATAATTTTGCCCAGTCAGAAGCTGTATTTCCCAGTGTTGGCTTAATTAAAACTTGAAAGGGTGGGTAGAGGGGGATAACCAAATATTGGCGGGGCCCAGCAGAAAGGTTGGGTGAGTTGGCCACGTGAACCCCAGAAGGTGGAGTCGAGGCACGCAACCCCGCTTTTTTGGTCACGTGATGCAATGCGGATTGCGCGGAGATTCTTACACGCGTCCCCCCACTGTTTATCAGCGTCTTATTATAGTAATATTCGCTCCTCGCTCCCAACAACAACAGACCTATTCTCGCTTTAATATTCAACATTAACCCTAAATTTACAACGCCAAACAAATGGCTTTGGAAAATTCCCATGAAAAACAATAAGGCGATATATAAATACGTAGATTAAAAAAAATTGTGATGATAATGATGTAAAACATTGTAATTATAGGTGGGAGGTCAAGATTAAGTGATTAGTTATTGTGAATGGAAGAGAAGTGGATTAAAATAGTGGGGGATTAGGTAAAGAGTGAAGCGAGGGAGGAAATGGAAAGAGAATTGTTAACTGATCCCTAAACTGATTCCTGAAAGAGAATGTCTATGCCTTGTTTCCCTGCTTGCCATTTTCTTAATTCTCTCCTGTTCCGCTGTTTACGCTTCCGCTTTTGCTTTTTTCCCCGACACCTTATCTTTCTCTGAATCCTTCCACGGATTATATTTGACAGATTAAATCCCTTTTCACTACAGTTTTATTTGCTGCAAAGAATTTAAATTAGGGGAATTTAATCAGGTTCCTATAATTTTTAAACCATAAATTATATCCCTCTAATTTGTTTTATCCTTGTGGAGTCCTTAGCCTGATCTCGAGGTTAGAATATTTGAATTTTTCTTTTAAAAATGGAATTAAGAATTTTTATATTTTTATTAAAATATTATATAAATTTATATAGTTAATTTATATCTTCTAAATAATTTATATATACTTTTACAAATGTAAATACTGTATTAAACTGAATTTTCGTTTCCCTCGCTGACGTAGAAGTCTTGAATCAAATTTTCTATAAATTTTAAATGTGTTGCACTATAATAATTTTAACCCTCGCAAATAATGTATCTAATTGATCAAGATATGGAACTATGTAAGAGCTTGACAAAATAAGATAAAATGGAAGCATCTCTTTCAAAATGGAAGAAAACTGTAAGAGCGTGGGAATTAATTTTCTCTTTTAATTAATGGTACTATTTTTGAAATCATTTTGATGGAAATTTAAATCAGTAATTGATAAATGAATGCTCCCATCTTTCTTGCTGTGCAATTAATCCAACCAGCCACCGCTTTGATGTTGTCGTTTCCACGTTAATCATGACAAGAACTGGTCATTTTTTCTTTGGGAAAGTAAGAATAAATAGACACTTTGAATTTAAAAATGTCTCCATATATAAAAACCTGGGCATTGAAGATAGGCGAGTACAAATCAAATGAGCTGTTTGGTATACCCCAATATATAATTCGAACAAATTAACAGCAAAATAGAATAACAATAAAACAGGAGCTAATGATTGGGATTTGCATTAGAAAATGGCATACTAATTATATAAAGTAGTAGATGGACTAGCGCTCGAGAAAGTGCATTGCATTTGAATGAGTGTCACGTTCTGTGCAGCATCTTTCTTGTTTAAAGAGATCGTGAGTTAGATTAAACGAATTAAACAAGAAGGCATGATTTTGTAATTCATATACACACAATAACGTGCACAAATGTAGAAGTACCAAAGAAAAAGAACCTCGCTGATACGCTTTAATTATTACAGGCCACAATTCATTTTATATAGTGCCTTTGACATTATTCTATGTCTTCCTACTGATCTGTACATGAACCCGTTGCCCTCTCTTTCTAATGTTCCGGAATCTTTGCTTTAATCCAATTGATTTTGCATTAAAGTAAACCCACTTCTTTAACTTAATTATAGCACACTGGTTTATATTTGTGACTATTGATGCATCTACGAGGCAATAATGTTACAGTCGCGTGAGCGAAACCAATATACGCGTCTCCTAAATTAAACTTGTTCTTATTTCCATGGCAGAAAACCTTGTTTTTATTTACATGTCTATATATAATTTCGCTAGTGGAGTGATAAAATAATATAAGATTAATCTGGTTGTCTGACGGACTATAGAGGGTTGTGGCAAAAAATAAACAAAGAAAGAAAGAAAGGACGAAAATTGTGTTATATGTGTGTCAAAAGTGTGTGTGACAAATGTCCCACATTGACTAAAAGAATAAATCTCCTAGTGTGTATATACTAAGAAATGAAGTGAGCTAGTAAAATGAGTTTTGAAGAGAAGTGGCCTCGCGCACATGAGACAGGCCAATTCAGGGCAATCGCAGTTGAAATCAACCGATTTGCCCCCTGCGTGCGAGTTCAAGAGGCACTGGGTTTCTTTTACTGGATTATTTTTCCAAACTTTCTGATTGAGTAAATAATTATTTTAGCTTACCCGAAAAACA